ATTCCTCCAAATTTTCACGAAATTCCCACCACTTAAATCTACCTCTTTTCGTAGAATATGCTGTTTGATTCAGAAACTAATGTTATTAATATAATTAGTATTGTTGTTTTGTTGGTTTCGTACTTGCAATTAATTATTATTGGGCTAACTTCGGCGGGGGTGGTTGAGGGACATTTTTTTTCATTGTCGTGCCGAGGGGAGGCCTGTAAACTCTTGTGAAGCCATGAAGTGATACCAGTCAAAGTTTGCAGAGACCACCTGCCAGCCTTTGTAAAGAACAGCAACCTGTTCAAAAGGAGTGAATTGAAGCGAAGTAGTGAACGTGCGAAATTTCCCCTCCCTCTCCCCCCTCCCAGTGCAATCTATCTTCAATTCCATTTCATTCTTACTACATGGTATTCCAAAATTCAACTCAATGGTATTCCAGAATTGAATGTGGAACGTAGGCGGAAGCGGAAAACGCGGCGAGACACAGAACATGGCGACGATATCAATGAGGTTGAGATAACCGATCCGCTGATAGAATTGCTCATTGACAAGGAAACAAAGTAAGTGATACGCAATTTTAGTTTATGATGATAGTTGAATTCAGAAGCTGATTGGTGAGGTTCCCCTCCGCGCCCGCTCATGGTAGCTTCTCGGGGAGAAGGCGGGAAGAAAAGGTGAAAAAAATTGAGAAAACATAGGAAGATGCCAGGTAGGATGGGAAAGGTCGCACCAGGGAAGGGAATTTCAGCGCGTTGCACTGACACGATCATCTCACTCATCACAAACGCAACTACGATGCGGCATTACATGCCCTTTATACTGCTTCAGAACTTTCAATTTTCAAAAGGTGATCTTTGCTTTGTGGGCTCAACTGCATGCTGAACTCTTCAGGTATCAAGTCTTGTTGTCATCCACTATTATGCCAATTCATACCTCTTTACGAGAAGCGTTAGTAAGCGGATACAAGGCTTTCGACGATGTCGAAAAGGTATTCTTGACATCTTCTCTTAGAGTATTATTTATTTTTTATTTACTTTAAATTAAGAAGCAGCAGTGATTCTAAGGTATGCACCTCTTTAAACACTGTCTCGATGGAATTTGGGACTCTGTTTCGGTTTTTGTCTTTTGCGTAGAATTGAGCTTCAAAGGAGGGTGTAGCTCATTTCGAGCGACGGAATCTCTCAGATGCGAATTTTGCTAAATATAGCAATGTACAAAATGCTCCCCTCCCTGCATGAGCCGAACTGCTAAACAGTGTCCAGAAAAGTCTCAGAAGGTGTGACATACTTACTTTGTATACTGGTTTCAGTATGCTGCGAACCCGATGCCTGTCGGTTATTCCACGAATTTTTCATATTGGCGTGCAAAAATTCTGTCGGTGATAGTTGAGTGGGCAAAATCGTTCGAGGTACTTCTAAAGAATTTTTCATGCTACATGACCATGCTCTGTTCTATTTTTTTAACCCAGGGCTTATTCACATTGTTCAGGTGTTCAGCCGACTTGCCCTTGATGATCAAATGCGGCTCATAGTGCATTCATCATTCTCCAACCTCGTACTAGCCGAAGCTTTCAATACCCCTGAGAAATACACTGACCGTATTGTTTTCCCCGATGGCCTCAGTGGGTGAGTGATTACGTGGAGACTTTCAGCGTCCACTCATTTTATCAAAGAGAAGTCGCCAAGTACGGCTCTCGATGAGCTTCGGCATAGTTGTAGTACTGTACTTACCAGAGAGAATATCCACCAGTTATTATGTTCTCTTGTGATAATTATTTTATATTATTTTGTAGCGAAAGTACGCTCCGCCCGCCGGGCGCCCACCCCACCCTTCGCCACTTATCAGCTCGCCTCAGATACTCCTCCTCCTCCTCCTCCAGCTATCTCTTACTGTCCCCGTTTTCTTCACCTATTTAAGCTCTCTGGGCTATTCTGCAACGGAGTTACGAATTTTTCTCCTCTCCATTGCTCTCTTCTAGCTCACGCCATGCCCACATTTGATGGAGTTTACTCAGTTCAAGACAAGCTATATGCTCGCCTCCAAGGTGGATCCGTGCCAGGGAGGTGAGTGTGCCCGCGGCTGTAGAAGTATGCAACTTTAACCTCAAAAGGGAGGGGTTGGGGGGGGCGGGTATGAGGCTGGAGCGTAGTGAAAGGAGTATGATTCTCCGACAGTTAGGTATCCACCCGACATCCTTGCAACGTGCAGCAAATGCGTTGATGCTGAGGTCCCACAGCGAACGACTTGAACGGCAAGCAGTCTGTCATGGCCAGCTGGAGAGAACAAAAGCCCCTGACCAACCACATGAGAGAAGCGCAGACAAGGAGCGCGGTAAATGGCTATACAAATAGCTGGTAGTGGGGCGTGTTACGTGTTGCGTGCTTTACCTGGGAGTAGTGCCCCAAATGGCATCCAGTTGCCATGACCTTCCAGTCTCGTCACCGTGCATTTTTGAGTGAGAAAAGCGGCACAGTTCTACAGCTGCAGACCCGTTCCCGTCGCATATGACAGGGGCAAGTATCCTCGGAGGTGACATCACTTTCGCATCCATCTGCAACCCCGTTTCAAGGATACAGCTTATCTATGAAATGTGTTAAAAAATTCGGCCAATGCGCTACTCATACTATTGTTGAGCCTCACATCCTCAAATGGCTGTTCAAGCTTTGTTGAATTCCTTGACGGACAAACAAATGAACAAACAACTCAACAGAGATAGCGTTCCATACATAGCATACTTCATTTTTATTACTTCCATTGTATAAGAAAACAACTCCTAGTTTTCAGTTTCCGGAGTCCTTCGGCAAACGCCTTAAAAGAGCGTAGTGGGCTGATTCCAACTGTTGTCGCAGTCATCAACAATATTCTGGTTCCTATTCGTCGGATGAAAATGACTAAAATAGAATATTTACTACTACAGGCTGTTCTTTTCTATGACCCGGGTAAACTTTGAGTTTCTTCAGTTTCATGTAATTTTATGCTGAGATTTTCCATACAAGAGTTTCTCTTCTGGTTTCAGAATGTTTGTCATTGTCTGAAGGAGCCCAGCAATTGATAGCTGCTAAACGACGTCGTCTTCTCGATTCTTTACGCAGCCATCTGGACAAAAAGTTCAAAGATCAATCTGAAAGCGCTTCTCGATTTGCTGAGATTCTGTTGAGGATCAGTAATGTACAGGTGCGTTTCCCTAGAACAGTATGGAACTACAGGGGGGGGGGCAAAAAAGTCACTTCGGCCGAGTCACATATCAGCAAAGTTTTCGCAGCCCAGACAGAGGAGTGGATACGAGTACCAGGGCGGAAGATACCCAAGATGTTCCTCGATAAGCAGGAGCTGGCTCCGCCCATCACCTTCATGTACACCAAAATATGAAGTCATCTCCAGTCGCAGCCTGACTGGAGAAGACCTTTGGAATTCATGTCACCTCCAAACAGCTGCGAAACTTCTTGAATGGAGTCACCCATGGATAGCTACCTGAAGCCCTCCGACAGTCCGCAATGATGAGGACTGTAAATCGCCCTATTGTCTTTTCAATCATCTTTTCCTTATCCGTCCTTCACGTTGGTCGAACTGTCTCACAAACTTACATCAGTGCTTGAAAACACAGTCCACACTGATCGTAAGGGTGGAGACAGTCAACCATTTGCACCTTTCTCTTGTTGGCCCCTTCCTCTTCACCACCTTGAGAGGGACACCAATGAGGGACGTGCAGTAGCTGACCATCCTGACCCATAAGACTATCGTGGACTGTGCGTTTAGACTACTGACTGTTCCAGAGTAACTTTCTTGTAATGAAGATGGCACGATTCGACTTTGCGGGGGTATTAAGTTGTGCCTTTTGTGAGGACCTGTGAACTCCTTTGACCAACGCGGCTTACTTGTACCATGTCGCATTTCATAAGGCAGTGTTCCCTCTCGATTTGGAAGACCTCCAACATCGAGCAGCTCCGACAACGTCGCTACGGTCATATCATCTTCACCGCAGTCGCCAAGGCGCGGGTTGGTGGTATGGACCGGAAGTTCCTGGAATGTGAAGATCGACCAACTCGTGAAGGATATCCTGCCTTCATGTCATCGCCTGTACCTTCTTGGAGACTTCGTACTGCCACAGGATTGGGTGCCTCCACACGGAAGAAGACGGAATATCCGAGTGATGAAGTGACCTAAACCCCCTCAATTACCTGGTTCGGGCGGAGCTCAACAGGGTGGTCTACAGTGGCGGAGAAATCAACGATCTCGCTGAACTCAGGTACCGACTCACGGTCGCGTGGCAGAATCTCTCGATGGCGCTCGTCCAGAAGGCTGTGGCGGAGCATCATGATAGTATACAATATGCTGTTGAATATGGTGGTGGAAATGTCCCATCAGAATTTAATTAAGTGTAACTTATAGCGCCCTGAAAGTCAAGGAAGAAAAGTGACTTTTTTGCCCCCCCCCTCTGTAGTAAGTGGGCAGTTGCGTTCCAGGAGCAGTTGTAAAGTATCAAGTGGGAATGATTTTTCAGAAAGTAGCAGCTTTCAAACGAGAGACATTGGTCACAATAGAGACGTTCAACTTGATGCAACCACATCCATTCACTATGGAGATTTCGAAAAAATATCCGGACGTATCGTTCTTCTAGTCATTCCTAGAATTCCTCACAGCGAAAATCTAAACTCTCACTTATATAGCTCTCAAAATTATATTATTAATGTTACCACTAACCTTTCACTATACTATTCACAATTAGGGCACGTCCTGCCGCTGGAGAAAATCTTTGCAAAAACGACCTTCCTCGAAATTTCTCCTCATGGTGTGCACCAAATTCTTTTCTGAAAATTCTTCCGCCTTTTTCCCCAAAAGCTG